AGACAATAACGCAAAAAAAGCATTACCAGTACTAATGCATGTCACTACATTTGTTTTGTTGTTATTAATCCACACCTGAGGATATTTTTTCCATTGCTTTTTCAGAGATAATGGAAAGAAGGGAGGGAGGGAGGAAGAGAGAGAGAAACACTGATGTGAGAGGCACACAGCCACTGGTTGTGTCCCCCATGCACGCTGTCCTGACCAGAGAATGGGGATCGAACCCAGGTACCTGCTCTTGACTGGGAATCACACCCCTCGATCCTTTAGCGCATGGGCCGACACTCTAACCATTGAGCCACACCTGCCAGGGTTATCACTACATTTTACTCATATATCTCAATTCTAAGTTCCTCTGCACTTGAAAATACATAAAGTAATCGTTGAGAGAACTACAAGGAGAAACTGGGAGGGGACCTGGCGACAAGGCTTTTATATTTATCAAAAGGGAATAGATAGGGTCTGGAGGGTGTGGCTCAGTGGTTGAGCGTCTACCTATGAACCAGGAGGTCACGGTTCGATTCCCAGTCAGAGTACATGCCCGGGTTGCGGGCTCCATCCTCAGTGTGGGACATGCGTGAGGCAACCGCTCCATGATTCTCTCTGATCATTGATGTTTCTCCCTCTCTCTCCCTCTCCCTTCCTCTCTGAAATCAATAAAAATATTTTTTTAAGCGGGGACAGATAGGGTTGGGAAATACTGAAAAACTCTCCCAAAGCAGCAGTCGGCTCCCGTCCCTGCGCTGCCTGTGGGCTCCGCGGCTCCCTGGCGCCCCCTGGAGAAAGCTCACATGCAGGCTGATCTCCAGCGAAGGCTCACAACAGGCCTCCATCAGGAAACCTGGCTGTTTATTCCCCAAACATTCCAGCTGAGAAGACAGGAGCAGAGACAGCGGGGCCTGGACAGAGCTGGGGGTGGGCAGAGAACGTGCCTGGCAAGAAGGAACTCGGCTTAGCGTGGAGACAGGAGGCCTGGTGTGGCCCCTTCGTGGGGTCCTGAATAGGCCTGTTTCTTCCTGAGTTCTGGGGCGGTGGGAGGGGGACATCCTCAACTCCCTTACACCCCCCCCCTTCACACCACCATGACCCATCTCCGGCTTTCCCATCCCACTTCAGCAGCCGGGGCACAGGCTCTCTGCATCTCCTGCCTTGCTCCCCACATGACCCACACACATGTATACCCACCACTCACCCTGTCCCGGCCATCCCTCACACTGAGCCCCAGAGGGATCTTTCTAGGGCTCAGATACTGTGCCCCACCTCCACCACTACAGAAAGACCTCCCAGGTTCCATTTCAAATTGAATTTTTATATTTTTAAATATTTTGTTGGGTTTTTTTTAAATATACTTTTATTGATTTTTTGCAGAGAGGAAGGGAGAGGAGGGATAGAGAATTAGAAACATCGATGAGGGAGAAACATTGATCAGCTGCCTCCTGCACACCTCCTACTGGGGATGTGCCCGCAACCAAGGTATATGCCCTTGACCGGAATCAAACCTGGGACCCTTGAGTCCGCAGGCCGATGCTCTATCCACTGAGCAAACCAGTTAGGGCGATAACTTTCAACAATAAAGATTTTTTAAAATATATTTTATTGGTTTTTTACAGAGAGGAAGGGAGAGAGAGCTAGAAACATCGATGAGAGAGAAACATCGACCAGCTGCCTCCTGCACACCCCCCACTGGGGATGTGCCCGCAGCCAAGGTACATGCCCTTAACTGGAGTCAAACCTGGGACCCTTTAGTCCCCAGTCCGATGCTCTATCCACTGAGCCAAACCTGTTTCAGCTCCCATTGGCTTTTAGAAAGAGTGGAAGGGATGGAGAAAGACACAGAGAGAGAAACATTGATGTGAGAGATACACATTGATTGGTTGCCTCCCGCAAGTGCCCTGACCCGGGCCCAGGGATGGAGCCTGCAACCGAGGTACGTGCCCTTGACCTGAATCTAACCCCGGACACTTCAGTCCGTGGGCCGATGCTCTATCCACTGAACCAAACCGGCTAGGGCGCTTTACTTCCACTTCAGACACCTCCAACTCGCCATGTCCAAAACCAGTCCCATTGTCTCTCCCCAAAGCCACCCCAGGTGAACCCCTCTTGTGAATGGTTCCACAATCCACCCAGAAACCCATGGGCCACCCCAGACGCCTCTCCTTCATTTGCCCCCCCAGTGTGGCCCCCCAGGCTGAGCCTCCCCAGAACACCTACCACCCGCAGGTTTGCTACAAAGCAGTGTGGCCAATCCTGTGTGGTCCGGAATGAGGGGGACAGCTTCCTCTCAGGACACCCACAAGGCTCCCCCCTCAATTCTGGTCTGGTCCCCAGTGCCCAAGAAGGCCAGCCTGCCGGGCCCTGCTTCTGAACCACAGCACCGAGTTTTCCGCCATAAGGGCACTCCCTGCTACAACCCCCTCCGCTCCCCCCACGGGGTACACAGAGATGGAAACTGCCAGGTTCTGATCTCCCCCAGTAGCCAGCCTCATGCCTGAGCACCTGCTGCTTCCTGAGTGTGAATGATCTCACAGGACACACATCCCCCCCCCCCCCCAGATCCCTCTTTTTTAAATATTTTTATTTCAGAGAAAAAGGGAGAGGGAGAGGGAGAGAAACATCAATGATGAGCTAATCATTGATCGGCTGCCTCCTGCAAGGCCCCCACTGGGGATCAAGCCCAAAACCTAGGCATGTGCCCTGACCGGGGATCAAAGCATAGCCTCCAGGTTCATAGGTCGACGCTCAACCACTGAGCAACACTGGCCAGGGCCCCAGCACCCTCTCTTTTTAATTTTTTAAAAATATATTTTTATTGACTTTTTACGGAGAGGGGTAGAGAGTTAGAAACATTGATCAGCTGCCTCCTGCTCATCCCCCACCGGGAATGTGCCCACAACCAAGGGACATGCCCTTAACAGGAATCGAACCTGGGACCCTTCAGTCTGCAGGCTGACGCTCTATCCACTGAGCCAAACAGGTTAGGGCCCCCAGCACCCTCTTTATCCCAACCCTTATCTCTTGCCTTTGGCGGAACCAGTCCTTTCTCTCACCCAGGCCTCATCCCACAGCCTTGCTGACCCAAAGCTTCCCTCTCACAAACTAGCGCCCCTGCCCCCAAAGTGGGAAGGACTCAGAGGAATGAAGGAAGGGTCCCACTCTCTTCCAGCACCGCGATGGGGGAGGCAGAACCTCTGCCCCAAGTGAGGGCTTTCTGGGGCAGATCTTGGGGGGTGGGGGTAGAGGAGAGGGCCGGTATTGAGCAGCTGCCCCACACACCTAAGGAACGGGAGTGGGTGATGGATGTGACCATGGTGCCGCCTTCTGGCCACAGGCCAAACTGCAGCCTGTCAGGGCAGCCAAAGCTGGGGCCCAATTCCGCAGCAGTGACCTGGCAGCCGGCCTGGGCTGAGGAGCTGGTTCTCTCTGAAGGATTGCGATTCCTTCTCGAAGGCTGGCTCGGACCTGCTCCTGAGCAGCCAGCATGCGGCTTTCCCACGCACATCATCCCTACCATCCAAGCAAGCCCACCCCTCCACGGGGGCTCCATGACCGGCGGGCACAGGCGTAGATGCCCTGACAGTATTTGACAGACAAAAGGAGAATGAGCCGGTGTCGCAGGGTCTCGTGTGAACTGGAAAGAAGGGGAGCCAGCGAAGGGACGCTGGTGATGTCTGAGGTGGCGGGACAGATGCCAGGGCCCCGGATGGAGAGCTAAGGAGAGGCAGAACAGCTCCGTCAGAGGTGAGCAGGCCAAGTTGTTGAGACCTGGCTGTGGCGCTGGCTGCCTGAGGTCCCCTAGCTTGTATGACCCCAGAGCCTGGAGTGAAGGGTGGCCCAGAACTGGCCATGGGGACAGAGGAGAAAGCTGCCCACCCCCTCTAGGCTTGCTCAGCTCAGGGACCTGGGGGGGGGGGGCGGTACGTGGGCAATGTGGAGGAGGAAGGTGGCAGGAGGACTATGGGAGCAGAAGGCCACAGGAGGGCTTGTGGGCCTGGGAATCACCCCCAGCCGCTCTCCTCAGGGGAAGCCAGGCCCCCTTTCCAACCCCAAATCCTGCTCCAGCCCCCGTCCCTAAGACCCAGGCCAGCCCTGCTTTGGGTGTTATTGCTCCCCTTCAAGTCCTAAAGGCCCACAGAAGGTCTCGCTCCGCGGTGGGGGTGGCAGGAGTCCCAATGGGGAGGAAGGAGTGGCCAGCTGGCCCCAAACTCTGAGGGTGCTATCTCTGCTCCGGCTGGGACTGAAGTGTGGGCCTAGGGGGTCATCCCCTGGTGGGCACAGAAGCAGGGCCTAGTGGGTCCAGGAGAAGCTTGGGCCCCTCCAGAATTGGGGCGCAAGGGGCAGGGGCCATGCAGACCAGAAGACCGGCCACCGCTCTTCACACCAGGAGCCATAACCAGCCCAGCCTGGGTTCCCCCAGGCCTGGAGCCCACGGGTTCCAAAGCTCAGCTCAGCACAGCACGGCGATTGCGGCCCGGTGGCGCCCTCTCCTGGCCAAGAGGCTCCCCTGCACCCTCTGACACCAGCCTTCCCCATAGGAAAGTGTGTGCTGGAAATACTGGGGGGACAGAATATGGGGAGATGTTGGAGGCGGCAGGCTGAGACTCTGGGCGCCCCCCCACCCCGCTCCCATCCCAGGCTACAGGCCTTCACTCGCCTGTGAGCCTTCCGGGCCTGGCCCTGACAACAGGGGCACTTGCAGCCCACCCCTGGGGTCCTGGAGACTTGGGTTCCCATGGGGCCTCCCACCAGCCCCCTCTGCTGGCAACCAGAGCTATACGCAGGCCCACCTCCAGGGTGGCAGAGCTGCTATTCCCGCTTTGGGGGAAGGGCGGGGACAGAAAGTTCTCAGACCACCTGGAGTTTGTGTGCCATGATCCACGGGAGCAGACGTGTGGGTGGCAGTGGGCAGTCTTTCCCACAGGTGATGCCCATCTCCTCCCTCTTCCCCCATCCCTGCCCCTTCCCCTTCCCCTTCCCTGCAATTCATCACCGGCCCCAGGCCCTTTGCTCTGTCTGTCTTTATTGATTTGGGGGAAACCGGAGGGGAGCCGGAGGCCACGACACAAGCGGGACCACCCACAGTCAGCGAAGCGCAGAACAGCGTGCAGGAAGGAGCCCCTGGAGCCTCGTCAGCGTCTAGAGGGGTTGTGGCAGCAACAGGGGAGGGGAGCCCCTGCGGACATGCCCCGCCAGCCCCTCGGCAAGGGCAGAGCCTGAGGGGTGCCCCCCTCCCACCCGAGTACCACGTGCTACGCACATCTCAAACTCTCCAACCAGAGGCCAGCCCCAGGGGGCGGGGATGGGGGAGAGGACTGAGAGGATCCATGGGAAGAGAATCGGGGGGTCAGTGCACTCAGCCTCAGCATCTGCCAGGGATGGAGGGAGAGAGAGAAGCAAACAAGGAAAGGAACAGTCAGGAGGCACCCCAGCCCACACCCCAGCCCGCTCCCCAACCCGCACTGTGCCCAGCTCCCAGTCAAGGCTCTCAGCTGCGGATGGAGCCCACTGGGTCGTGACACTGGGCCCCTCTCGCATCCTCATGGTGCCCGGGGTCCCCAGCCCTTGCTGGCCCCTCTCTCGTCTGCTCCTCCCGGAACCCTGGACTAACCCTCCCTTCCATCTGTGCCCTCTACCCTCAGCCCTCTGCTCTCTGGGGTCCACCCCGCTTAGCTCCTGGCCACACGGGGTGCCACACCCTCTATGCTCACCCAGCGCCACACCCTCTAAGCTCACCCAGGAACCACCTCCTCTTAGGGGGTGCAGGGCCCACCCCCACCTACCTGGGCATCACCAGTTGGAGGGCTGGCCGGCCCCGAGGCCGGGGTGGCTGTGGCGGGCCATCCTCCGCTCTGAGCCCTCCTCCCCCTCCGGGCTCTGCCCCAGCTTCCGGATGTGGCGCAGGAAAGAGGTGGCATTGAATGCTCGCTGCAGGGAGAGAGGGGTACCAGGCTATGACCGGCCCTGACCCCTGAGATTTCAAGGATCAAAGGGCTACTGGCGGCCTCCCTCTGAGGCTGAGGGATAGGCAGCCTGGAGCCAAAAAGGTCCACGGCCCGACCCATACTGACCTTCCAGTGGTTCCGGGCAAAATTCTTCTGGATCTGCTCGCTGACCGAGCCCAGAATGTCTTTGTCAAAGGCAGCATCTCCAGAGATCCTAGCGGGAGGCCAGGGGTCAGTGGGGGGTAGGGGTAGGGGGTTCTGAGGGTGTAGTCCCTCCCTCCAGCCCTGGGTCAGCTTGGCAGGGGTCCTACTCACCAAAGATGCTGCAAGGCCTGCTGGCACGTGAACCTCTTCTGCGGGTCTCGCTCCAGAAGGTGCCGGATGAAGTCTTTGGCTGGAGCAGGGAGGCCAGGTCAGCCCAGTCCCCTCCCCCCCCCCCCAATTCCCCTCCCCGCGCCCCCTTCTCTCTCTGAGCTCGGGGCCAGCCTCCAGCTCACCTGATTCAGAGATGTCATCCCAAAAGGGCGAGTCAAACTCGTAGCTGGCCCTCAGGATCTGGCTGAAGAGCTCGGGGTCGCTCTCGTCGTAGAAGGGAGGGTAGCCACACAGCCTGGCACCCACAGAGGAATCACCCAGCTGCCCAACCCTCCCCAACCCAGCAGGGGGGCGGGCGGGCGGGCAGAAGAAGAGCCTTCCCAGCGGTCACTCACAGGATGTAGGAGATGACACCCAGGGCCCACACATCTACGGCCTTCCCGTAGGGTTTCTGCTCCAAGAGCTCCGGGGCTGGGGGCCAGAGACAGACAGACGCGCACCCGCGCACGCACACGCCAGCCTTCAGCGCCGCCTGGCTCCGCCTAGTCGCCCCAAGGACGGCCAGCCACCTGCCCTGCCCCGGGCACCACAGCTCCCACAGGATCCCCCAGCCTCCTCAGGGAGCCCCCCCTCGCATACCCACATATCCTGGGGTCCCACAGGCCGTGCCCAGCATGTTGCCAGCCTGAATCTTGGACAGGCCGAAGTCAGAGACCATGATCTTGGAGTCCTCGAACGGCGTGGCATAGAGGAGGTTTTCAGGCTAGGACACACGGAAGGTCAGAGGTCAGCCCTGGCGTGGTCCTGGGGGCTGCGACCAGGGGCTGGGCCCCCTCAAGCCCCCCCTCCCAAGACCCTTGGCGCACAGGAGGCTGGGTAAGGCCCGGGCAAGGGGGTGAGAGGGCAGGCACCTTGAGGTCGCGGTGCACGATGCCCAAGCTGTGCAGGTAGGAGACAGCGCCCAGGACCTGGCCCACCAGGTGGCTGGCATCCTTCTCCGTGTAGGAGCCACGCTCCATGATGCGGTCGAACAGCTCGCCCCCAGTCACCCTGGGAGGAGCCGGTGCTGGTTGGAGCCAGGCCCCTCAGCCCCCGCTCCCCACCCAGCCCCCAGCCCGCCCTGCCCTCCTCACAGCTCCATGGCCAGGTAGAGGTGGGAGGGGCTCTCGTGGACGTCCTCCAGAGCCACGATGTTGGGGTGGCTGACCCTGCAACAGCAAGAAAAAGCCCTTGCAGCCCAGCCAGTGTGGCTCAGTGGTTGAGCATCAACCTATGAACCAGGAGGTCACGGTTCGATTCCCAGTCAGGGCACATGCCCGCGTTATGAGCTCCATCCCGTGTGAAACGGGCAGGAGGCAGCAGCTGATCAATGATTCTCTCATCAATGTTTCTATATCTCTCTCCCTCTCTCTGAAATCAATAAACAACAACCCTGCCCTAGCTGGTTTGGTGCAGTGGGTAGAGCATCGGCCTGTGACCTGAAGGGTCCCATGTTCGATTCCAGTCAAAACACATGCCCCGGTTTTGTGCTCAAGCCTCAGTAGGGGGCGTACAGGAGGCAGCCAATCAATGACTCTCTCTCATCATTGATATTTCTATCTCTCTCCCTCTCCCTTCCTCTTTGAAGTCAATAAAAATATATATTTTTTTAAAAAGCTCTTGGCCCAGCCAGCGTGGCTCAGTGATTGAGCGTTCACCTATGAACCAAGAGGTCTCGGTTCGATTCCTGGTCAGGGCACATGGCCAGGTTGTGGGCTCCATCCCTGTGGGGCGTGCAGGAGGCAGCCGATCAATGACTGATGTTTCTCTTATCATTGATGCTTCTCTCTCTCTCTCTCTCTCTCCCTCTCCCTCCCTCCCTCCCTCTCCTTTCCTCCCTGAAATCAATAAAAATATATATATATATTATTATTATTATTAAAATAAAAAATAAAAACCTTGTAAGCCACTGCAGCCTCCTCTAGCCTCGGGGCCTAGGGGTGCTTCCTTCCACCTTTGCCCCCTTCCCTACCACAGCCGCCCCTGCCCAATCCTGCAAGGGGCACAGAGGAGGCAGCGCCCTCCACCCCAGGGCACTGCCCCCCAGGCTTTCAGCAAGGCAGCCAGGGCCAGACACGCACCTACGGAGCACCGCGATCTCATTCTCCACCAGGGCCTCCTTGCCTCGAAGGGCCTTCTTGGAGATGCATTTCAGAGCCACAAGGTGCGAAGAGCCCCGCTCCTGGGCCAGCACCACCTCGGAGAAGGCACCCCTGCCGCGGAGACAGCGGAGGCAGGGAGGGAGAGGGCGAGATGGAGAGGCAGAGGCAGAGGAGGGGAGGAGAGGGGGGAGAGGGGGGGAAGCCCCCCCAAGCTGATGCAGACGAGGAGGCCCTCTCCATCCCAGGCCATTCATCCCACGCACACACGCCCACACAGTCTCTGACGCACACGCACTGACACTCATGCACACACAACACATTGGCAGCCACACTCACGAGCCCAGCTTCTCGCGGATCTCATAGACGCTGCTGATGTCCTCCGTCTGTTTCTTGAGCAGCAACATGTCTGGGCGGGGGAGGGGGGGCAAGGGAGAATTGGAGGGAGGCCCCCCACCCCAAGCCCAGCAGAGTGCTTCAACCACCCTCAGCGACAGCCCCATTCAAGAACACATGTCCCGTCAGGTCCCTACACCCTCCCCCAGCCCCCTACATCCCGCCCTTCCCCCACCGCCCAAATGGATGCTTCCCAGCGAGACCACCGCATACACCCCGTCCTCCCTCTCCCCCCCCCCATATGCCGCTGCGATCCCCAACGCCCCCCACCCCGATGGCGATGGCGATGGCGCCCAGACACCCGCTCTCTGCCGCCACACAACCGAGCCAGCCGCAATGAGCCGCCTTCCAGAAGGCTCCATGCACCCCCACCCCCGCCCCTCCGAGCCCACCCCCATCCGCAGCACCCAAACAGCCCTCCCTCGCCCCCAGGCCCGGACTTGCCACCCATCGCTCAGCGCCCACAGCCACACGCCACCCAGGCCAGCAGCCCGCCCGAGATGCACCTGCGACCCCAACGCACAGCCGCCTGCCACCGCTCCGGCCACCCACGCGGCTGCCCGGCGCCGCAGGGCGGGAGGGACTCCGCAGCCTGGGCCTCCCGCGTCCGGAGCTGCGTGGGCAGCGCGCGTTCGGGCCGGGGGCGCGCTGGCTATGACAGGTGTGCGCGGGGGCACGCGGGGGCGGCGGGCGAGGACTGCGGCGCGGGACCCCGCACGCCCCCGCCTGGGAGCGCCCGGTACCGACCTGGATCGGAGCCGCAGCGTCTCCTCCCGCAGTGGCCGCGGCGCAGAGCCCCCCGCCCGCCCGCCCGCCGGCCCCGCCCCCGCCGCACGCTCCCGCTCCCGCCCAATGCTGGCGGCCGAGCATGCCGTGGCGGCGCTGCAGGGCACCTTGTAAGGCAATCTACCGCCGCCGGCTGCCACCTCCCTCCCGGGTCATTCATGCCTGTTCCCACCGGCTCCGGCCCCCTGGCGGCCTGGCTGGGCCGGCCCCAGGGCCTTTGCACGGCCAACGTCCTCTATCCAGAAGTCTCTCCACCTGCGCACGCTGGCATGACTGTGAGCCTTCGGGTCTCTGCTCCTCAGGCCAAGTGGGCCAAAGCAGTCTCTCTCCCTAGCCCAGCCCTGCCACTGCCACTGCTGCCTCCCCCCCGCCCCCTTCACCTAAGCCCCATCGGCACTCAGTTGGACAGCCACAGCCTCCTCCCTGGGCTCCCTCCGCCCCCTGAACCCAGCCTTAACCTCTCCTACCCCGGTCTCCTCCCCACCCAGCGGCCGCAGCACTCCCTGCATTGAGATCATGTCACCCCTGGGCTTCCCATGTCACTCCAAGTCAAAGCCTGAGTCCTCACAGCGGCCCAAGCACTCTGTGAATCCTCACCTGAGGATATTTTTTCATTGATTTTTTAAAAATATATTTGTATTGATGTCAGAGAGGAAGGGAGAGGGAGAAAGAAACATCAATAATGAGAGAGAATCATTGATTGGCTGCCTCCTGCATGCCCCCTACTGGGGAATGGAAACTGGGCATGTGCCCTGACTGAGAATTGAACAGTGACCTCCTGGTTCATAGATCCATGCACACCCACTGAGCCACACCAGCTGGGCTCCACTGATTTTTAGAGAGTGTGGAAGGAGAAGAGACCAGAGAGAAAAACATTGATGTGAGAGAGACACATTAATTGGTTGCCTCCCGCACATGCCCCAGCCAATGCTGGGGCTCCAGCCTGCAACCGAGGTACAAGCCCTTGACTGAAATCAAACCCAGGACCGGTTAGTCCGGACTGATGCTCTATCCACTGAGCCAAACCAGCCAGGGCATGGCCTAAGGACTCTATGATGGGTCCCCTTTTCCCATCACTGCTCTGGCCCCTCTCCACCCACTGTCCCCTTTGCCCAAGCAGCCACACTCCAGCCACACTGGCCCCCCCAACACACTGCGCGCGCGTGGGGTGTGTACCATACGTGGCTCTCAGACACACTCACACACACCTGCTCCAGGCCTTTCACTCACTTCCTCTCTGCCCCAAATGCCGTTCACTCGGATAGCTGGCTGGTTTGCTCCCTCACTCCACCGGGTCTCAGCTCAAAGGTCACCTCTCTACACAGGCCTGCCCTGCCCCCTCCCGCAGCCCTGTCTTCAGAGCTTCCATCTCCTTCTTTGTTCCTCACCAGGACTTCCACTCCCTCAAAATGTGTCCGCTGACCCTCCCAGCCACCCCGGGGATGTGCTCAGGGAATGAGTGCTGGCTGACCAACTTCAATCCTTCAGCAACTAGTGGGTTCCTCCCACTCTGTCCCATGGGTTCTGGCGCACTTCCCAGGGGATCCAGGCCTCTCCGGGGATGGGGAGTGAGTGTCCCGACTCTTGACAGAGGAGTGCGGCCACACGAGCCAGAGCTGCAGGCTGTATTGCATCACAGGGTCCAGGAGAGACGCTGAATCTGTCTTCACAGGAGTTTGTAAGCCCGTGGCGTGGCACAAAGTCTTTGAGAGGAATCATGGGGCATACAGAGGTGTGTTTGTTCTTTGTGTTGTTTTTTTGTTTTGTTTTGTTTTGTTTTAATGCATTTTTATTGATTTCAGAGAAGAAGAAGGAGAGAGAGAGAGATAGGAACATCAATGATGACAGAAAGTCATTGATTGGCTGCCTCCTGCACACCCCACACTGCGGATGAAGCCTGCAACCCAGGCACATGTTCTGACCAGGAATTGAACCGTGACCTCCTGGTTCATAGGTTGCCATTCAAACACCGGCCGGGCAGGCAAAGGTTGTTTTTCTGTGTTGTTGTTGTTGTTGTTTTTTAATTATCTTCCCAGATCACAACTCCCACATGTACTCTGTCCAAAAATCTGTAAGTCTGAGAAGGACCCCTCCGGTTCTAGTCCCCGCCCCTTTCCCAATGGCCCCTCCCAGTTCACTCTAGAAGGCCCCAGGGGCCCCAGCACTCCGCAACATGGGCCTCATCCCAACTGCTCATCCTGCGAACGGGGTTTCCTCAGCTTACACCTGAGAAGAGTAAAGAGGAATGGCACTGACAGCGAGCCCCATCCACACTGGCAGTGAGTCCTGTTTGCACAGACAAGCCCATCTTGCTTGTTTGTTTGATGGTTATGCAGAAGAAACATGATCAGCCCGGCCAGCATGGCCCAGTGGTTGAGCATCCACCTGTGAACCCAGAGGTCAAGGTTCCATTCCCAGGCAGGCCATGTGCCCAAGTTGTAGCCAGATCTCCAGGAGGCACGGATCAGTGATTTTCATCATTGATGTCTCTCTCTTTCTCCTCTCTCTCTCTCTCTCCTTCTCTCTCTTTCTCTCTCTCTCTCTCCCTCTCTCCCTCTCTCCCTCTCTTGATCTCCCTTCCTTTCTGAAATCGATAATCTATATCAGAGCCCCATGGTCATGGGTTATAAGAAGAAATATAATATATACATATACATGTGTGTTTCAGAGAAGTGATGGAGAAATAACAGAAGACTGCCGCAGGGAGAGAGATGGCACGTGGAGACCTCTCTGAGGGGCTGCAGATGAAAAGAGGAGGCAGGAATTAAAGGGACCTCCCAAAGGGAGCCTGGGAGAGAAGAGCCAGCCGGCAGATTTGGACACAGTACCAGTTTACAAGTGGTTTTGATGTCATTGGGCTCCTATAAAAAGTGATTCCGAAATTTTTGTTTTAAGTCAGTATTTGCAATACACCAGAAATTACACCCCACAAGGATATTTTTCCATTGACTTTTATTTTTTATTTTTTAAAATATATTTTATTGATTTTTTAAAATATATTTTATTGATTTTTTACAGAGAGGAAGGGAGAGAGATGAGAGTTAGAAACATTGATGAGAGAGAGTCATTGATCAGCTGCCTCTTGCACACCCCCTACTGGGGATGTGCCCACAACCAAGGTACATGCCCTTGACCGGAATCGAACCCGGGTCCCTTCAGTCCCCAAGCCATCGCTCTATCCATTGAGCCAAACCGGTTTCGGCTAAAATATATTTTATTGATTTTTTTACAGAGAGGAAGAGAGAGGGATAGAGAGTTAGAAACATCGATCAGCTGCCTCTTGCACACCTCCTACTGGGGATGTGCCCGCAACCAAGGTACATGCCCTTGACCGGAATCGAACCCAAGACCTTTCAGTCCGTAGGCCGACTCTCTATCCATGAGCCAAACCAGTTTCGGCCCATTGATTTTTAGAGAGAGTAGAAGAGAGAGGGAAAGACAGAGAAAAATATAATGTGAAAGAAACACATTGATTGGTTACTTCCTCATGTGCCCTGACCAGGGCCTGGGTGAGGGCAGAGCCCACAACTGAGATAGATGCCCTTGACCAGGACTGAACTCAAAATGCTTTGGTCTGCAGGGCGACACTCCGTCCACTGAGCCAAACCCACTAGGGCCCCCCACAGCTGTTTAAATATCTGTTGAAATATTGTAGATGTGAACTTCAAGATGTGTGTGTGCACCCCTGGCCGATTTGGCTCAGTGGATAGAGCGTCACCCTGCAGACTGAAAGGTCCCAGGTTCGATTCCAGTCAAGGGCATGTACCTTTGTTGCGGGCACATCCCCAGTAGGGGGTGTGCAGGAAGCAGCTGATAGATGTTTCTCTCTCATTGATGTTTCTAACTCTATCCCTCTCTCTTCCTCTCTGTAAAAAATCAATAAAATATATATATTTTAAAAAGGTGTGTGTGTGTGTGTGTGTGTGTGTGTGTGTGTGTGTGTACGCGCGTGCGTATGCGCGAGCGCGTGCTCTGGGTGGTGGTAGATAAAGAGCTTTTTGAAAACAACCCATGAACCAGGAGATTACGGTTCGATTCCCCATTCAGGCCACATGCCCAGGTGGTGGGCTCGATCCCCAGTGTGGGGCGTGCAGGAGGCAGCCAATCAATGATTCTCTGTCATCATTGATGTTTCTGTCTCTCTCTCCCTCTCCCTTGCTCTCTCTGAAATCAATAAAAAATGTATTTTAAAAAAACACAACAGGAAAAGCATGGTCCATGAAACATAAAATGACAAACTGGACTGTATCAAAACTAAATGTTGGCTCTGCCAACAACACCGTTGAGACAAGGAAAAGACAAGCCACAGCCTGGGGGAAAGTCTCTGCAAAATGCATACGTGATAGAGGACTGGTATTCAAAACGCACAGGGAACTCTTCAAACCCAGCAATAAAAAAGCAAACGACTCAAAGATGAGCCAACGGTCTGAACAGTCACCGAAGAAGAATCCCAAAGGGCAGAGAGGCCCGTGGAAAGGTGCTCCACGCCACCAGTCACCAGGGAGCTGCCTCACAGCGAGGCGCCACCGGAGTGACTCAATTGGAGGAGCGTCGTCCCTGCACCCAGAGGTCGCTGTTGGATTCCAGGTCGGGGCACAGGGATGTGGCGCAGCTGGAACCTCCTGCATTGCTGCTGGGAAGGCGGCCAGTTTGGAAGGCAGTGTGGAGGTTTCTCACAAAGCTAAGCATGTTCTTGCGCGGCCCAGCAGTGGTGCTGCCTGCTCTTTCCCCAAAGGGGTTGAGCATTTCTGTCCACGCAAAAACCACAGCCAGATGTTTGCCACAGCTCTATTCAGAATCAGCAAGATGGGCAAGCAACCTAGATGTCTGTCCTTCAGTAGCTGAAGGGTTAAATAAACTATTTGGAATTATCTCCACGGAGCGTGTCTCTTTTCCC